GTTTATCACAAGTAATGGTTATACTTCGAGTTTTTACAGCAATATTGGCTGAGGAACAATAACCTAGACTATTCACTCGAAAATGGATCTTCAAAATACATTTTGAAAACATTTGTAAAATTTTAGGACTTAAAAGATTGCTTTCTTTACTCGTACAATTATTTTTAAATAAATAATTCTACATTGAGCTGCTGGAAAAATATTACTCTACTAATAAAAATATTGTTAATTGTATACATTTAGTACAAATATCTCGATTGCAGTGGAAATTTAGTCATCACACTCTTCCTCATCCAAATACTATGTAAATTTACTTTCTGGGGTTATATTTTCGATGTACACTTTGTTGTCCCCTTGGCATTCAGTGCACAAGCCAAATAAACCTCACAATTTTATCTTACAATAAGAAATCAAGTGAAAATGTTTAAACCTGACCCTTTTTAAAACAAGGATATTATACAGGTATACTTATATGCGAAGATTTTTTTCAACTTATTGTGACATTTTCAAACAGTGCAACTTTTCCCTGTAAGTAAATAGTGCCGTATTAACTGTCATTCTCACACATTTTGCTTACATGCTTAATTTCCCTTGTCTCTCTCTGTACCCGCTTGTTGCATGCTCCGCCCACCTGTCTGCGCCGCCCAGGATGACGCGCTACTATACCAAGGCTCTGGCTGCTGGTCTGGAAGAACTGGCTACTGCAGGTGCGCCATGTATGGGTCACGCTCTTCCAGATCCTCTTACCTGTGCTGCTCGTCCTAAGCGTTTTCATCATTCGCATGTTCGTCGATGTGGAGCCCCACCCCGACGTGACCCGGTTCCCTGCCTACAATCCCTCGAACCCCACCCTCATAGGGAGAGGGGGGAGGAGCGCTTTCTCGCGGTGAGTGCAGGAGTTATATCTTTCGCGGCGAAGGCCCTGGCCACCCCAGTCAAATGCGAATTCGGCGGGGCATTCTGCATGTTTTGGGAGTGCTGAATGTGGCAGCAGAGTGTGATTAGGGCTGTATTATCAAGGTGCAACTTCACGTTGAGGGGCAGCTCTAGTCGAAGAAATGGGAACAAACAGGATGTGGTATAAAGGAAATTTAGCGTCAGAACACACTACCGTCACATTGTGTAAAACGTGATTAAGAGTTCGAACGATGCAATCACGTTGCTGACTCGAGAGTACATCGTACATTGTGCAGAAGCTCTCCAGAAGTCCAATCACTTAAGACGGAAAAAGTAATCCAGAGGGGGGAAATGAGTTAATAAGTTGTTTTTCTATTTCGTACTTAATCCGAATTTTTTACAACCTCGTAAAAGCATTGCGCATTCTTATGAAACTTGAAAATCTGCTTTAAAAATTTCTCTTTTTAGAGTTTTCATTTGTAACTTGAAAAAAACTCATTTCTGTAAAAAGATGTTGTTTTGCAAACGTAAATTATTTAAATTTACTCTTAATAAGAATTTTTCCTCAGATGATCATTTTAGGCGCTAGAGCGCGTTTAATTTAATCTCCATGTGGGATAGCATTGAGAAGCGTCGGACCAGCGAAATTGTAATAGAATGTTCAAGAATATCTCATCCTGTAGTTTATGCCATGAGAAAAGTTTCTTTGAGTTAGAATTTTAGTTTTTAATGCCCTAGAACGTTTAGGGCATTCACCTATATTAAACGAGGTTTCTTAAATGCCTATGGTGTTGTGGGTTGCATTTGACATGAATATTTAGTTTTGTTCTACAGCGCCATCTACTAGAGTTACATTAAAATTAAAAGTACATAAACCTTCTGGGTGATAAAACACGTAGATGTGTCAAGTTCCATGGTGATCGATCACACTGTGTCAGAGTTGCATTTTGTTTTCAATTCATTTAGCTCCTTCCATTCAACAGTTAACATATATGTGACGTTACCAATAATGCGAGAACGTATGTGCTATAGTAACACCACAGGTTTCTCTACATTAGTGTATAAGTACTCTCTTAAATTACTGTAAATCGTATATTGGTACCTTGAATTCCGGCAAAATTTTCTAATTTGACATAACCCATACCTATTAATTACGTTTTCAAAGAGAGGTCCATATTTACTCGCTGTAGAAACCATGAACGGCGATGGTGTAACGGTCAGCGTACCGGACTGTTGTACCCAAGTTCGCGGGTTCAAAACCGATCGAAGCCGAAGGGCGAAAAAATCCTTCGTACGCCGGGAAGTAAAGCCGGCTGGCCCATATGTAGTAGGATTTACTGCATGTAAAAGATCCTCAAGCCTAAACGACGCCCTGATATCGCCTGTTTCTCGACCACTCGAAATACCTGCCTTTCTCTGCTAGTTGATGAAAACAGCGTGCGAAATTTGCGTGGTCAGACCGAAGAGCGGGCCTGACGTCCGAGTCTCGCCACGAAATTCAATTCAATTCAACCTTCTCGGGAAAATACTCGGTTTGTGCGCCAGGAATATTTACTGAAATTAGCAATGTTTGAGGAAAGAGTAGTGGCTTTGTAATGCGCCACGCGAGTGCTAGAGAGTAATCTCGCCCAGTGATGACTGGAACAGCGGTTGCTCCTTTTGCAGGAACGCGTCGTCCCGGCCTCCCGCTCCGTGGGAGGTGGCGTGGTGCACTCAGGAGTCGGCGCCCTCCTCTTTCGTGAACGACTCGCAGAAGGTGATGAAGATTGCCTCCGTAGGAATCATGCCCTGTAAGCAGATGAACCATCTATATTTTTTTATTTGTCTTTTTTTTACAATTGGATTACATTGCCACTTTGTGGCTTTGACGAAGAAGGTGCGAGTCCAAGAGCTACGCTCCTACGTCCACACCTAGAACGTCTTACATTTACAATTATATCTCCACTTATTATGACATTGTTTTACACAAAATTAACGTGTTTTATATTTACATAAACCTTTTAAATTTTAATTCTTATCCACATTGTTTACTCTTTTTTTCATCACCCTCTTAGCCACATCTAGATATTATTCGGCGTTACCTTTCTTGGTACGGGAAGCCGGGTGGTCTACTTTTGAAACATTAAAATATTTATATTTTCATATCACATGTTACATTTTACAATTATCATATGGATAATAATATAATCAATCAATATCATAATCAGAGAATAATCCATTTTGAGAAAATAAGTCACTTGGTGAATATTTACAATGAATTATAACTATTCATTTTCCATTTGATGATACAAATTTCATCTGTATGCCACGCTGAGGCATTGTGGGTACTACTCTTGGGATAGAGTTATCTTTTCTTAGTGACTTTCTCCTCTGCTATTTGAATCCAGTGTTCGTTTTGGATCATTATGATTCGATGTACAAAATTTTAAATTTCATTGTATGTCCTTTCATTTCATGATTCAATTGATTTCAACAGATATAGGTAAGGCGTTCACTGTCAGCTCAATTCCATTTCGTGTTTCGATCTCGAACTGCAGCCCAGCCTGCTTTGGGCATTGACACATGATGTGAATAGCGGTCTCTTCCTCCCCACTGTCTCAGTTGGAAGAATCATTTAGGTCAAGATTGTGTAACTTGCCTATAAACGGCTCATGTCCACTGAAGATAAGAGTTAACGTTGTAGATGGCTTAATATGCCGAAACTCTGTACTGTATCCGAGGAAGGAACGCAAAACCATCTCCTCTTGTATTACCATTCACCCATCTGTTTTGCCGCGCCGCCAACTTAAAGGTCTGACCTCTCATCTATTTCACTATTTCACTACCATCTAAAATATTCATTTCCATCGTCTATTTGTGTCTCGCAGCTGGGATCTGAACTTCACGATCGAGAGGAAACTCTCCAGCTATACCCACCCCACCTCACCCTAGGAGGGCGCTGTTCAAAACCACAGAACGGTCCTTATTGCATCAATATTTTTGCCCTTTTGACACCATCAAATAAATTTAATCAGCTCAGACGCGCACATGCACTTAGCTGCATGGGCTACGCGTTTTCTCGTGTAATATAAAAAAATAGAGAGAGAGAGAGAGAGAGAGAGAGAGAGAGAGAGAGAGAGAGAGAGAGAGAGGAGATAGTGATGAGAGAAAGAGGAGAGAGAAGAGGGAGAGACGAGAGAGACAGAGAGAGACAGAGAGAGAGAGAGAGAGAGAGAGAGAGAGAGAGAGAGAGACGAGATACATGAGACACGAGAAAGAAGAGGGAGAGAACTGGATGAGAATTTTCCATTTCTAGAACCTTCCAGAAGCGAAAGCGATTGGCAGAGCATTATTTTAGCCGCAATAGTGCCAACTCGAGCAAATCAGAGCCCAAAATTGAAATTAGAGAGAGGGAATCGAATCCCGACGCTAAGAGCTTAGGGGAGGGAAGAATGCTTGGCAGGCTGGTTTAGCGGAGACCGCACAGGTGTTCCGACGCCGGGCTCGGTTACGCCCGTGCGATTTCAGAGGAGGCTTCAACTTCGGCTTCTGCGGAGGTCTCACGCGAGTTGCCCGTGATTCGCTTCCGCGCCTTTTTTATTACACTCACATTTCTGCTTCGGCGACTTAGATCGTCAGATCAGTATCGCCGGTGCGAGTTCTAATTGGATTTGTACTTCGCTTTCTGCCTAGACTGCATGGCCGCACATTGATCTCGACCCCCAGGCTTATTAACGTTTGTACGACTTTATTTCTTTGAACTTTTCATCGGCAATTTTGGCAACATTTCTGCCTCATTAGTCGATGATTTGGTATAAAATTAAGTTTCATATATAATTCGCAAATATCAAATCACTCACACAAATCATTCACAAATTGGAAGCCCAGTTTAATTTAATCGAGGAAATCTTGTGTGAAATTATCCTTGCTTGTCTGTTACTGTGCTACAATTAGTGGATATTTATTCATGTTTGTTTTGAAGAAATAAAACTGAATACTGTATCGAAATAATTGCAGATGTGTGGTGCGGCAGGCGCTTGATTTTGTAAGTAAACTCTGGGGAAGATGGGAGACACTGCTTCCTTGCTCTGTACACAGTGCGCCAATTCTCCTCGCCGGCGGAAATGGAGGAGTATATGCGCACATCCGCACGCCTACGCCACGACACCCCGGGCAACAAAACCGTGACGCTGGCGGGGGTGGTGCTAGCGGACGAGGCCGACCCTGCGGCGCCAAAAGTCTGCTCCCGGCGCCTCAACGGTACTTCTCAATATATAATATATATATATAGATAATATATATAATATATATATATATATATATGTATGTGTGTGTGTGTGTGTGTGTGTATGTATATGTGTGTGTGTGTGTGTGTGTGCCTTCTTTCACTTTGGGTATTTTGAACATTTTGTGAAGTTCAGTTGATTCTAACACTAATTCTTCATAATAAATATTTCCGTTTCTTTAACGATAACGATTTTCTTATTTTTGTTTTCTGTGAATTTCCGTAACTTTTATCGTCAAAGTGAAGATAAATAGGATGAAGAGCAAGAGTGTGATGTATTACCAACCAGTGACTATGACCTTTGGCCGATATTTTTTTCAAACTGCATAGTGTTCGAATTTGTGGCACTGTGTCGATATATTCTTTTTCAGGAGGGAATTAATTTCCAGGTCGTCGTATTTCCTATTACTGAAGTTCAGGTTCACTATAGCCGAATATTCTTATGCTTATTTGTAATGTATGTGAAACTGGACCAGTGACTCAATTTCATTATAACAGAGGATTCACTATATCCGAGTTCAGTACAACCGAAGTCGACTGTATCTACCACACGTCCCAAGCGCACACATGTTTAACATCAAGTGCGGAGCTCGCAATGCGCGTGACAGAGCGATCAATGAAGGAGGAACCTGTTATCAGCTGACCACTACTTTGCAACCAGCTTTCGGGGGTAGAAACGCCGAGTCAGTCCCGGTAGGGAGATGACGTCTCGCTTCCCCTAACTAGAGAAGGCATAAACTAAATTAAACGACTTAAACATGGATAAGCAATGGACCCGGCAGTCTGAAAGTCGGATCAAAATGCCAAATACATACATTCAAAACATAGGATGTTTAAATGAGTGGTGTTGGTCTCATTTTCTTTGAATTTAACTGTATTTTAGAATTTTTTTTGGGGGGGGGGGGTTCTGAATATTCTGAATATATTTGGTTTGGTTTGAAACATTTAGATTTTTAAGCGTCAACGTTAAGTTTGAGAGTCTTGCCGTTTCACGGCGTAGAGGTAAGGCGCACAGCGAATTAATTTTGAGAACATGAGCTCACGTCTCGGTGCAGAAAAAAATTTCAGGTTGAAAACATTTTTGCATGTTCATGTAGTAGTTTAATACTGCGCAGCAGTTAGAAATAAAGCAAGAACGTATGTGATTTTGTAGTTTCGCTAGTTTGTTTTTTTATAATATCATTACTAAATATTTGCACAGTTTTTTATAGTTGGTTGTACTTCTTCATTTGCCACATGACAACATATTGTTAAAGAGAATTTTTTCATATGCCCAGGAGCGTTCCTTGGTTACTCGTGGCTTTCCATGGCATGAACGTCACCCACAATGGCCCGGACGGAATTCCTTGGCAATTTTTCATGAGTTATCGGGCCCTGCGTCGACGTAAGTAGTCAAGAACCCAACTGCAGGTCACCCGGACCGAGGCCCGAAGCGGTCCGAAGCCCCCACCCCACCCACTCTCACTTTGCACACGGCTCTCACGGCGTCTCGATCGCCGACAATCAACTTGCCTGGTAGGGGATTTCAATTTCCCGCTAGGACTATTGTATACGTATACGAGGATGTGGTCTCGGCAACCGGGGCGGCGGGTAGACTTCCAACATGGAGCCACAAGTGCGAAAGCCCTTGCGACACGGAGCTTACACGAAAAAGTTGCAGTATACCAAGTTCCCATGTTACAGTATCATGATCCCGCAACTGTTCTTTTCGTGATAGCACCGCCTCCACCACGCCCTCTTTGGCTCTAAAACCGTTGAGTGCCTCCGAGAAACTCAGAGACCAGATAGTGGAGTATGAGATGGATTACGGGAGGTATATTTCGTGAGCGGGAGATGATGTGTGTATATTCTCTGTCCATTAAGGTGACGCTGCGTTTCCCCAGCGAGCTGCGAATGGAGGGCGAAGAGAATGTGGATGATAATTGGTCAACAGGTAGCAATTTTCGGCGATTCCAATCCCCAGGGCCCCGCGACAAGGAAACAGTAAGTAGGAAACAAGAAGCGGAATGTAAAAAGCTACGCCCAATTACACAGATCAAAGGTATTTTTGCAACAAAGAATGTGAATGTTGTTCTTAGCTACCACTTAGTCACCGAATCCGAAAATGAAATCTGATTATGCCAATCGGGCTTTCTTGTTTACACGCTACTCTCTATTTACGTAAATGTTTGAAAACCTACATATTGGTTATTTTGCAGTAGCGTCATTTGATAGTTCTGCAGATGTAATTGTTCAGGAACAATCGACATATTTACAAAGAATTCCTATACTCTGACGAAAACTCCCGCCTAGGAATTTCTAAAGGTGTTTGGGAATTCGCAGAAATCATGTTCTTGCGAGCCATGTGATACCTAAGGCAGTCGGATCTTTTGGGTGTTGAGAGAAAATCCAAACAAGGACACATAAATCAATTGAACTGGGTTTATAATTCTGAAAAATCCGTTAGTTGTTTACATAAATCACACATACATAAAAAACACAACAAAAATTGGGTACCTTTTTCTTTCTTGATACATGAATCATTCATTAATTCCCTTGTGCATATATGAACACCTTGGGAATTCCTCATTCATAAACGTTACTTCACTTACTATCTACTTTAGCGTGTGGCAAAAGGTTCAATTTAACAACTAATCGAAATAATTTTAATATAAAATGTGCACATTTGCGTAACACTCTCTATCACAATTTATTGTTGCCGCGAGCATCATAAATTAAATACTGATTTCTTACAGGCAAAATGCTTAAATTGGCAGGAATCTATTAATGTTAACTAGATGCGTTCGGTATTTTATTTCCCTTGCAATTTCCCCTTTAAATAAGTTCTCCCTTGCTCACGGGACGTTGACCTACTTTCCAGCGCCTTTGCACCGTCAACCGTTACCTCACACCGCTTCGCCCGCGCACTAATATCCCTTGCCCTTGCACGCCGCAAGGAACAAATATTGCGTATTCGGGCGTACTCGTAGCACCCGGTCAACTCGGACTGAAATTTACTTCACCTTCACTGCATAAAACTACTATCCCTCCTTTACTGTCCTCTGGCTCACAGTGAATGATGGAATCAGAATCAAATACTACCGTTCTATTCGATGAAAACTCTCCTCCGGTAAAATTTTTAATGGCACTTCCCCGCGCCCTTCTTAAATTGCCCCGCTCTCGCTTGCCCGGTCTACTGCAGACGTTCTCTTCTTGCATGGGCGTTGCCGCATTGTGGGCTTTGCGCATGCGTAGAGGCTCACAAGAGATTTAATATCGTATAAGAAAAGATACTTTAAGATCTGTAGAAGCTCTTTATTTAGCTACCCAATATCCTTGGTGGCAACAACCTCCATGCGGTGCATTATAGTGTAATGTGCGATATGCAGCGATGTGTACCTCATTTTTATTATTCAGTAAGTGATTTTTAAAAGTATGCGGCGTTTGTAAGAAGTTTGTAGGAACGACACTCATCTCTGGTGTTGGAGGGCATGTTCGAAAATCGTCAGTTGCTAGTCGGACTCCCTTAGCTACAGCGACATCATGCGGTGAATGAAGGAACTTACCTTCGCTTTTTTCGCCAATAACGAGGCGCGTACAATGTACTTGACCAACGCCATATGCACTTTGGTGTGAATATTGCGTTCACTTGACACGTTAGGTCGGTGGCGATTGGACGAAAATATCATGAAGGTTTTCCCATAGCCCGCGTGATGTCGCTGAAGCCAAGTGTGTCCGATTAGCTGCCGACTCTTTTCTTACATAACCCCACCCCTGGATTTGGATCTCCTTCTCACTGACTTCGTGGTAACTTCAGTAGATTTGCCATTTCATGTGAGTGGTTTGGCTTGCGTAGCCCACTGGACCGTTCCCAAGCTACACGAAGGAGGGCTTCACGGCACTGCAGGCGCAGCTGTCGCGCGCGGTAACGATGCTTTGCGCCAAACCACCGCGACGGCGCCGCCATCTCTTGCACGGCGAGGTAACTACCCACGGAACACTTTGGAGTGAGAGCTGGCATTGTCGATTGATTGACTGATGTTTTCGGGCACCGTTGAATTCGATTTGTCATTTGGAGGGAGCATGCACCGGGATAAAGCATAACGCAAGTTTCCGGCAGATACTGCGTCCTAGGCACAGATCCTGATGTTTCGGCCGTCATGCCGCGAGCTTCGACAAGGCGAAAGGTTGGTATTAATACTTGACCTTGACAAGGCAAAAGATTGGTAATATCCATGCCTCGAACGCGGAATGTCTCGGGTAGCCAAGTGAATATTGACTTCGTTCGCGAAAGCTTACGATTTCGTAATACCTCGTTGATTGCCAATGTTCGTTTATTCATAAACCTTCTAAGCAGATTTATGTTTTATACCGCATATATCCATTGCAATGATAACCATGACATTTTAATAATAGTTTTGTTTTCTTGGAGACGTCTTAGAGTCTCGTAATTTTCTTTTCAAAGCTTGGACGTTTGCAATGCAATTCGTCAATCCACATTCCAGATATATGCCCCATCCCAAACCCGCCCCCCAGCTGTGAAAGAGGGGTGAAGCTGATAAGGGTTGGTAGCAGTTATCGGTGTTGCTCACAGTAAGAGAGTCGGTGAAAGAGCAAAGATGGGAAATGTAACAGACGTGTATGCCCGGAAATGTACCAAATTTGAAGTGTAACTACTACGTAGTAATAATACCATGACCGAAATTGCTCGTATTGTAGGAGTTATTGTGCGCATGTCAATAGATTTGCGTAAAAGTTACAGAAAGAAACCTCAGAGGAAGGGAAAAGTGAACGAAAGAGGGTTACAACCAAAGTTTTCTTCTGTCTGTTGCTAAGAAAAGCATCCATCAATAAAAACATTTAACTTCGTCTCAACCTCGAAGGGTTGTCCTAAAAAATGGAGTACAAAGTTCTCAAGAACTGTAAGAAGGAGGCTGCTCGAAGATGCTTTGAAGGTACGACAACCCCCAATAAACATAAATTGACTGATTCTGTTTGCCATTGCCAAATTGCACAAAACAGCACTGGTAGATGCTATGAAAGTCGTTTTATATAATTGATAAATACAATTCCATTCTTCTACAATTTTATAACATTTGTGACGGAAATAAGGAAGCTATGTCCAACTGTTTCAATTGTGCTCTTCAATAAATATTTTTACTAAATTTTGCTTCTGGTTTATCAGGGATGAAACCATGGCCTTTGGTGCTCTGCTGTGTGTTAGAAGTCGGCCGTAGATGTCACAAGAAAGAATGTGTTTATGCAACTTAGTGCACGTTTTTCCACTAAAGTGATGATTTATAGCGGGTATTTAGTGTATTGAACAGGGGAAAAATTCTCATTGTAAACCCAGGCAATAGGAAGAGGTCATCAGAGATGTCTTGTTTCAGCAATGAGTTACGGCTTCCAACTGAGTATGGAATATGCACGACGGTGCTCCTTGTCACCTATCAGAAACTGTGAAGAGTGAATTGGATTCCAGCGATATTTGTGTGCCCGACAGGCCAGAAAATAGCCCGAACATGAATCCAATAGGAACACTTTGTAGTGTTGTTAAAAACCAATGTGAAGGTAAAATATCCTACAACAAAGGAACAATTCGTGGAGTACTCATTACCATTTTGGATGAAGATGACGAAATTGCCGAATTAGGCGAAAAATTCTTTCAAGGCTTGCACAAACGAATTAATTCTTTAATGAATGCTTAAGATTCTCACACAAAGTATTAATAAGTTTGAGTCTTCTTTAGTTCTATAGTTTAGTTCTAAAGTTTTGCGACAATAAAGACTTTTTTCTACTAAAAACCATTTTGCTATTAATTTGTCCACGTCTGTAGAAGCGCTATTCGGAGCGATATAGGGGATATGGCGTGGCCGAGATTTAAGATTTCAAAATCTGTTGAAAATGATAATTACCAACATCCTTTACTAAAAATTATAAATTTCGATAATTATGAAACTCATAATAGTATATTTACCATTAAGTACGGTTTTTCCTTCTTGGTACAGAGACCGTCATGTTGCACGTTAGTATTTCTTAAGTATTCTAATTATTATTATTATTATTATTATTATTATTATTATTATTATTATTATTATTATTATTATTAGAATAAGAAACTAACAAACGTCATTTTTTCGATTGACATGCTTTTGAGTTAAGTAAATCGTGTCAGTTGCCAGAACGTATAGGCCTACAGTCATTTTTACCAGAAAATTTCAAACGCGAATTTAACCTCAGTAAGTATTAAAAACATTAGTATTTAATAGTTTTTGCTTTATTATCTTGGAAATTAACAAATAACAAATTAGAGAGCCCATTAGTAACTTTTCGCAACTACAGAATAAAAAGAAAATTTGGTGAAATTTTAAAATCTCCTAGCTCTAGTAGTTTTTGTTTGAGAAACAATTTATAAAGCAAATTTGTAGACAATTTTATGACCTTCAAAAGTTTATAGAGCTATTTGTGAACTAAGATCAACCATTACAAAGTTATTACGCAAAACCCAATAAATGTTCGAAATTTGTTGATTTTTTTCTACCAAAACTTGTTTCGAAGTATTTCGAGGTGGAAAACTTGGGGGTTCCTTACTAATAACAGTATAGACAAAATAAAAAATATAATCTTCTACGACATCTTTTGCAAGGTGAACCCTTTTTGGCACCCAAATAAGGAAAAACATTCCCTTTGTAAATTAATGCACCTTACCTTCAAGGCGGCTAAGTAGTGACGCCGAAAAAGTATGGCGTAATAATAAGCAATGAAAAAGTAATTTCTACCATTAGAGCAAAACATTCGCTTTGAGCTCGTAAAAATGACACTTTGAATTCAATATGGCGCACAGTTTGAGACATCGATATAACATACAACTCGCACTTTGGCTAACGAACAATATACAACAAGAATTAGCTGTGTACTCATCCCCAATGACATAGTTTTTTTTCGAAACAAAGAATTCTGCTGCGCAACGGCGACACTTACAGTCCATCATATTTTATTCCCGTTCCACATAACACGGGCTATCTTCTCAAAAAGTTTTAGCTTCGAACTTATCATACGTGGATTTTCTTGCAAACTGCCGGTCTAACAGTCAAGTCTTTCTAATTGATTTCTTACTGTTTTATTTTAATGGAAGTATGTCTATATTTTTTGCTCAATTACTGAAGGNNNNTGAATTCGAGCCGCGGAAGCTTACGTACACCTCTTATGAGCAGTAACCGGTAGGGCATTATGTGCAGGCACCGCGTCGGCGCAGGCAGCTCTTACCAGCAGCTTTTGGGCCTAACTTCCGTTTGCGCCAGATCAGCTACCCGCCGTATGACGACGACGAGCTGCCCGCATATATACCCGAACTTCTCAGCACTGTCTTAATCATCGGATTCGTCGTGACCTTCGTTTTTACCACTAAAAGCCTTACGGAGGAGAAGGCGCGCCAGATAAAGGTTGGTTAAGCATTTCCGTGGTAATGGATTAATTAGGTCAATAAGCATATCGCTTTGCATCAGTGGCGGCTCATGCTTAGGTTGCACAACCCCCAGGTATAATCGAAAAATATCTCTTAATATCTTAGGAATATATGTTCTCCTTTTAGTGACATTGAGTATTTAAGGTATTCCAGCAATATCGATGCCTCTGAAATCATTTTAAAACCGAAGAGCGTCCAACTAGCTATCTCTCCGGTGAATGGTGCATTGCCAGGTATTGCATCACGCTCTTGGCTATGTTACTGGGTTTACTGCATTTACTCTTTGGCCTTTCGCTTTAACACGGAGAACATAGGGTCTTCTGGTTGTGCAACCAGACGGGTAGCTCTGTCTAGCACTGCGCGGCGACGGAGGGAGTCTCAAGGGATTACCAATATTCTGTCTTCGTCTAACTCGCTGCAAAGTAATTTTATGAATTTCGCTTGTTATTGAAAGTACATAAGTTCAATCAAATATTGAGGACGTTTAGTGCATTATTTATAATGCTTTGAGAATTTGTTTTCATTTGATATTAGATTTATTGATTTAAAATGCACACTTCATGAATTCTTTGAGTAAAGTTGGCCTTTCTAGAAGGAAGTCCCTTTCTCGATACATAGCAGCAGCCTACAGTTACACATAATGCTGGTGGAAACACGAGCTTATGTGTGGAATGATCTTTGATAAAAATATACCAGAGTAGTGAAATTTTCGAAACAAAATAATTTTATTTACGTGAAACGTGTCGAAGCAATAGTACTTATTACAATGTGCTGGAGTCGAACGTAAGCGCCCAGTGGAAATCTAAGCTAGAACCACGTCCGCAGAAGCTATGTATATATATGTATATATATATATATATATATATATATATATATATATATATATATGACACGGACACATTGCTTATATTTTATTATTATATATTCGTATTTCCAATTTTAGGAATCCGTCATTCGATTGAGATGCAATCGCCAGTCTGTGAGGGCACCGGCCGCCACTGTTTTGCGTATGACGTTTGAGTGGAAAGAGTATATACGTTTTCGATCAAGGGGTAAACACTCAGCATTCACCCGCGTGGTCCACGTGAAAAACAAAACCCAACGAACGATGGGGTGCTCTTCAATTAAGTTTAAGTACATATTGTAACGTTTGGCAGAAACCCTTCCCTTCCGTTCTACATGAACACCGTAATACGGCTACCAAAGTGCGTCACAGTGCAATTGCTAGACAGCCGCCAATCCGGAAGCGCATAGGGTTCAACGAGGGAAGTAATGATTAGAGGTTTTACAAAAAACATCTAATATCGTGACCAGTAGGGTGAAAAGTGTAAAAAGAAATTTGGCCAACGTTTTGTGTTTTCTTAACTGTGTAAGTAGCCCAAATTCGTTTTGTTGTATCTGTGGAAAATCAACTCTGAAATCGCAACTGCAATCCTCTGATAATGAAGTGTTACGAACTTTATTTATAGTGTGAGCTATAATTATACCCCGCACTTGTTTCATTGCCACAATTCCCTTCTTACCTACTTCTGCAATGTGCTTTTCCTAGCCCCCCCTCCCAGCCAAAACCCTAGTCAAAACCCGAAATACGTATAATAGTTCATCATTTCTAAAATACTTCCTTTCTATATAATTTTCTTACATTTACTCTTCTTTCTGCCTTTTTTAACTCCATCACTTTGGTCTTATCCGTATTTTTTCAAATTCTCTATTCTCTAAAAGTTTTCTAATAACTCCATCGTTTGATTTAAGTCCTTTAAGTTATCAGCATAAGATTAAGACAAAATTTTTAATTTACCAATCAATAACCCACCATCCTCGACCTTCCGTAACTTCTCTTCTAAACCTACCATAAATAGATTGAAAAGAAGGGGACTCAATGGGCCATTCTTTATTCATTATTGATACAGAACTTATTGCTATACTCGTATTTCGCTTTTATCATCACTCTGCAACTTTGATTAAATAAAAAATGGAATTGTATGTAAACGTATATGTATTTATTATAATTTGATTACAAAATGATAAACATTGGATTTTTTTTGAGGAACAAAAAAATTGTTGTTTTTGAAACAGTGTAGCGCGCTTGTCTTAGATATAAAAGTTGCATATAAAAGTTGTGAGAACTTTTATCGTCTTTAAAATTTATTTGAATGATTTTTACAGATCTTATTGATGGAAGTTATAAAGAAATACCAGAAAACATTTTTTCGAGCCTTCCAGAGTTAGTCCACAGTCTGACAGGTCAAAAAATTGGGTATTTAAGTTGTGTCTGGGTACATAGAGTATATCCTAGACAGTTTTGTTTATGATCTTTCGTTCAGGAAAGATGCACTTGCTGACTGGACTACTACTAGTAGTTTGGCAGTGATGCCCACATTCTATTATATTACTTTCAAGTTAGTCTCGCGGGAAAAGAATTAAAAAGTCTGTATCTTCTGTGTTTAAAACACGCAAGAGATGCTGTTAATAACCTTGAACATGCTGTAGTAATTGGAATGTCTTTTCCGCAGGAGACCTTGAAAATAATTGGTGTTCCTACATCGCTTCACTGGATCGCCTGGTTTATAAAGACAATGAGCTTGTTGCTCATCACCATGGTGTTAGTTGTGGTTATTTTAAAAACACCAACGAGTAATGGAGCAATTCTTAAACACAGTTCGCTTATTGTGGTGTTCATATTCTTTGTGTTATTCGCAGCTGCTCTCACGTTCTTCGCCTTCATGTTATCTTCAATCTTTTCTAACGGTAAGTGCATTTGATCCCCGACTGCGTGTTTATTATCATTTTTGTTGTATAAAAGAGGGATTTTCTTCATAAACCTAGCGTACTTACCGATTTTTTAATACGGTAATTGATCAAAGGCATTTGTAAACAAAACCCAAAAGGTAAAGTATGATACAACACACTCGAAAAAAAACATATTTTTATAAATAAGTAATTTAGACTAACATCGACTGTGTTTCTTCTCTCCATTTGCGATTTAAATGAAATGATTCGTTCACAAAATACAGATGAAGATGGTCTCAGCGTCTCTTTGTGATTTTAGTCGCTAGGCAGAGACACTATCGTGCATGCGTATGTCAGAGTTCAGAACAAGGATATTCATGTTTTCTGTTCTAAATTAAGTGAACGATACAACGTAGCAGGTGTAAGTCATGTGGTAAAATAGATGACAAATATGTTAAATGTTACTAAAAGGAAGACATTTAAAATACAAAAGGGGACGAGAGGACAATTGACGACAATGAAGGACTATCTTCCCAAGTGAAGGACTGTTGGCTTGCCCAAAAATGCGGGATCCAGAGATCTTAAGGAGTGGAGATTCTGTGGTGCTGGTTTGGGGATGATGGAAATTCTACGCTAGTAAGTAGACTTATTTTATCGCATCGCCGAAGTAAAGAATACGTGTTAATTAAGAACCAGTGCTACAACAGCACATCTCGGAAATGGTTACTACATAATGTTGACATATTGTAATTTATACCCTACTTACAACTCTGCTACAACTTGAAAAAGTCCACATAAATCAATTTAAACGATGTGCCTGTAGTGCGGACCTGCGTTTATTTCGATAGCCAGGAATAGTTTCTTTCGTTTACGAATCAAATAAAACAAGAGTAAATTTGAATGATAGAGTATTTACAGAACATTATTAGAAACGAAAGAATAATTGGACACAAGCTAATCTTGATTACATTGAAGAGAGTTAACAATTTCTGAACACCATATTCAGGAATAAAAACTTCTTAAACTAATGTTTATTTATATTCCCTTCCTTGATTCTATTTCCTTTCATAACAATATCCACATAAGATCATCACGACCAACAATGAGAAGCATTTCAATCATTTGAAACAACCGTGTTGCCATTTTGTGACTGCGACTACTGACAGCGTGAACAATTCTAATTTACAATTTGGAATTTGCTGCACATGGTTATGTATGTATGTATGGGTGTATGCATCCCTTGTTATGAATGTATTATTAATTGTAATGATGATATCCGGTTTTACAAATTATTACTCTGTATTTTAATTAATTTATATTTATTTTAGTTTGTCAATTCTGATTTTATGTTGTTTAGTTTTCTGCTTGCTGTGGTCACAACCGGGGTGAGAAACGTTGACACATATAGGGGTGTTCGGGCTATTGCGCTTAATTCTGGACGTTTTGATGTGGATTGTATTCATAAGGTTAAGATGGGCACAGCAGTCGCGAAACTCTTTGATAGCTCAGGGAGAATTATGTAGGAGTTCTGGATTGATAGAAAATAATTTCTTGCACAACTAGATTTAATAATCACTGCCCTTAAGTACTTGATTACATGGCACAGTTACAACATCACAGTACATGATAGCTCGAGCATAGTACTACTAAATTTCCTGGTGCGAATGGTCTAGTGCAAATAATTTACATTGCACAGACAACACAGGTAGAATTCGTTGAAGAGCACGAACTGGGTGGAGCCCTACTTCACACAAATAAAATGATACCTTGCGCGTGCTAACCGGGAACAGCCCGAGATTGCACAATAAACTGAATGTCCAAGTGGTCTGATGCAGATGACCTACACTACACTTGAATGTTACACGTACCAACTGAGAACAGCCTGAGGTTGGACTGTAAAATTTTTACGTATGTTAATTACACACGGAGCCCGCCATCACGGACTTTACGTGTGGCTGGCGCGCTGCTTGCTACGGAAGTAAATTGGCGGTTCAACGACGGGAACATCATCAGATCGCCAGCGCTCGTGCATTCAGGGAGGGTGGATGGCATTGGGGTCGCACGTGTGTTTCTAGGAAGGCCGTGGGCGGCATCCGGTGTAGTGGTCTAATAGATGCAACGGTCGGGCGCTGTACCGATTACAGATCAACTGTTCTGCTTTGCGTCGTATGAAATAAAATCGTATTTATTCTGCTTTGCTGTGGGCCCGAATAAAAGGAATTACATGTTGGCACATTGTTAAGGATATTAATGAGAATGTATTGATATTCAATTGTCTATAATAAAATTGGATTTAAATTCTCATTTAGAAACGTATACTAAGTACTTATATCAGAAATAAAACGAACACGATTTCAGCCATGTCAGTAATGTCATTAAATTCAATTTCTCAATACTAAAATATTACATTAATATGTCATCCCCCAAAAATGTTTTCAACTGTTGCAAATCGACCAGTTTACTAGCATTCGAACTCAGCTACATGGTTTGTACTTCGGTTTTTGTAACGTGGCGCGTCAGGGCCTGTCTTCACGATGGATCACCTGCCTGACCATTCTAGGTACTGTTTTCACGACTGTACCTAGAATCGGGCGATCCAGAAATACCCGATGAAATATTTCACAGCTTAAATTGAGCTACACGTAAAAATGGATTAATACCGTTGAGAATCTCGATTTCACTCTCACATCCCCATTACACCAAATTCTGTTGTTTCACACAAAATATACATATTCAGAGCGCCTAAAGACCGTGAACATTCAACAAAGTTAAAAAGTGAACATTTGTAGCCCTTAATGCTAATTGTGCAATGGAAGCTACTTGCTCACGACCGTTCACACTTGAAGAAATTACATCTGCGTGTAAGCAAATTAAAGTTGAAAAAGCCCGGAATTGATGGAATCCATCCTGAATTCATTTTACACAGCGGCAAGTATATATGATTCTGGCTTGCTTGTTTCTATACAGATATTGTAAATAAAGTCAGGATACCCTCAACACTTAAAGAGGTATAGGTATCCTGAAATCTTTGAATACCCAAAAACCAGCCAGAGAACTACCGCCCCATCTCGTTGCTGAGTGTAATTTACAATCTATTCGAGCGACTTATACACAACAGAATTCTCGAGATCATACCGATAGAGCAGGCCGGCTTCTAACCAAACAGGAGCTACTCTGACCAGGCTCTGCCACTGATTTTTATTGAGGCCAGATTCCAAAGAGAACCGAAAACTTCAGCTGTATTCATCGATCTCACAGACGCCTAAACAGTCTGAAGGAATGGTTTTGTCAACACGTTTGCACGAGAGATATCTTGTACGAAAACAATTACATCAAGTGAGGATATGATCAGTAACAGAATATTCACGGTAATACTGGGTAGCTCAAAAAGAAAAATATTAAAGCTGAACAATGGTTTACGTCGGGGATCGGTTTTGGCACCACTGCTCTTCAGTCAATACATGGCCGACATGCCAAAAACGTGAAGGAAGTTTGGATATGCTATTTACTGGGCTATAGTTATACAACAAAAACAAAGTCGAAGTAACAGAGAATATCCTTACTGAAGATTTAAACACCTTGGGATAATATTTCCGCAAGTGGAGACTCCAAACGAGCGTAGCGTTTCCATTTAAGTAATAATTTGGCTAACAAAGATATTGGGATTTTTGTTATTTCAGTAATTTCTCTTCGAAGAATATTGCAAAGACTTTGGTATCACATTGGATTGGATGCTTTCTTATAAAAAGCACCTTACAAATCTTGCTGCGAAAGTTAACACCAGGAACAATGTTCTTCAGAGATTATGTGGTGCTACATGGTGATCTAAGGCCAGGAGATCCAATGACTATTGAACTGAGGGAAGGTGTTGCCTCGGTTAATCGGGACATATTCGGTAATTTGTATGTTGGCAGTTTACATAATTCTTTTTTCATATATTTGTACTTATCATTATTAAAAAATATGGATTATTAGTTTTCATACTCGATAATCTCGGACTCCAATGACCACGGTTACTCGCAAGTCTACAAGTATATACAAACCTAGTGGAGCTGCGACAGCACACTTTCTCGCAATATTACAATATCATTGTTATATACGACGGGACTCCCATTTATGATTTATTAATTTCAAACAGAAACTACGCGAAAACTACTAACTTACAAAAAATTGTACATTAACTTTTTAATGAGCTAATTTTGTAGAACATACTTGTCTACGCCAAAAATATTAAATTTTGTAGTTTTGATTTTTTTTCAATTTTCTAAAAAAACTGGCAATCCCCGAAAATGGGACTAGCACCATATTTTTTAGTGTCCCATATTACATATGTGGAGAAAATGTAAAGAAAAAAATTGGAGCGGTCTTTGAGAAAAACATCCTAAATTTCAAGCGCAAATTACGCAAAACTACTAATTTTTCAAAAAATTGTACATGCTCTTTTTTAAAGAGTTTATTTTGTACAACATACTTCTTCTAAAGCAAACATTTATATCCTAAATTTTGTTGTTTTAGAAATTCTTTTTGCAATTTTCGAAAAATCGGGGAACTAACTCAAAAAAGGACCTGCACAATTCTCTTAGTCGTTCAACAACAAAATTTAATCAAAATATTTCGAGCACCTTTTTTTATTTTGAAAATGTACAGTGCGCTTCATGTAAAGTACCCCCCCCAATTAAAATATCAATTTCAAATTCCAGGGGCCGTGACATCAGCCAGAACGATTAGGGAATATCAATTTTGGAGAAATCGGTTGAACGCTTTAGGCACTAGCGTTGTACACAGACAGACGGACGGGTAGACTGACGGCAAAAGCCGTCAATCGATGTTTCGGTATTGTGACTGCTCAGCCAAAGTCGGCTGAAGCGACGCATTTCAAAGAACGCGAGACTTCTCGTTACACGGAAACTCCTGAAGTTCACATTGCAACAGAGTGATGGCTCGACCCTTGGAGGGGTACTCATTTACCTTGACGCAGAGGAGAGTGACGATGGGGTAGCGCAGGAGAACGGAGGGGT